TCGAAGAACACCCACAGGAAATACCAACCAACACTCCCTCCATTGTGCTTCACCACCACAGTCCTTCCGAATGGCCAAAGGGGCTCCTGTGTCTGCTGCGCGACCCACCGCTCTGGGTGTTCTCAAGGAGCAGACCAGCCACAGGGCATTGGCCACCGGGCAATGGGCCTGCCCTGCTGGCCCCATCCCTGTCTCCAGGGGGACAGGTGATCGCTGTGGAGAACTGAACCCCATCCCTGGTCGGCCCCCGGTTTACAGCGTCCTGTGGACCCTGAGCCCCTCTGAGACAGGCTCTGTCACAGGTGCCCTGAAGTCCTCCATAAAGGGGTGGCTGGGCCTGGGAGCACGCCATATGCCTGTCCCCTCCCTGCGATGGACACAGCTCTTCTCAGGGCCTCTCTGAGGGGCCTGGCAACATTCTGAAGACAGTGAGAGATGGCCCCAAGGGCCCTGAGTGGCTGCTGCCATTATCACCATTTCACAGATGAGGAAACTGAGGCTCCAGGAGGCGAAGGGACCTGCCCAAGGAGAGCTGACCTGGAGACCCAGACCCTCCCAGGACAAGTATCTCCTCTCTGCCCTGCCTGGACGCCCCTGTGTGGGCATCCTTAGTGCTCAGGGGTGTCTTGCAGCCGGGGAAGCGGGGAGAGGGCCTTTTCAGACCAGAACAACTGGAGGTTTGCAGCTGATCTTGAGGCCAAGGGGCCGGCTCCCCCAGGAGTTTAGAAAACAGATGAGACCACAGACACGCTATGGCTGTGTGGGGCCTTTCCCACCACCTCCCCTGTGACGCCCGACACCCCGCCGCCGGGAAGGATGGAGGGGTGGGCCTTCCCCTAAGGGAGCTCACGTCCCCGCACACAGTGCCCCCCATTGCAGCGGACTGGCCACCTCTTCTCTGAGCCCCACTAACCTAAGAACCAATGTAAACTGTAAAGTGACTCAGAGACCAGTCTCCAGCCCTGGGGGCACGTGGTCACTCACAGCCCTGCTGGGCCTTCCCCGCTGCAAGGCCGTTCCTTCCAGCCCAGGGGCATCTCCCACGCTTCCTCCATCTCCTGATCCCCCTAGTCACGTGGGGACAGTGCCCAGACATAAGAGATAATCAACTTGGAGCCTAAGAGTCTCCACTTGTGGTGCAAACCACACTCAGGTCCCTGGCAATTGGGGCTAATGTCCCAGCGGCTGGGTGAGCTGGTGTGAGCTACCGCGGAGGCAGAGGGGCTGCGGCCGGGCCTGCCCTGGTGCAGAGGAGCCTTCTCCTCCTCCCACGACCTCCGAAGCAGAGGCTGTCCTGCGCAAATGCAACACTGGGGAGGAAGGACGTGTTTTTGCGTATTTTATCTGCAAACTATGCAATCCATTCTGCAACTGCTCAAGGAGATCCGAGTTCTTCTCCCACAGGACGCCACAGCCCGAGCAAAACCACAAGGGTCCCATTGTGTGTCCTCTGGGAGGGACCCTGGGCACGAGGGACAAGGCTCCCACACCCTACTCCCACCCTCCGGTCTTGGACACACCCGCTCAGCTTTGGGAATGGCCTGACCTTGGTACTGTGGCCCCAGCAGGGTGTTGCAGGTAAGGCGCCAACAGACAAAAGAACAAGGACAAAAGCTGGCGGGCACGTCCTAAGCTGAGAAGCGCCCTCTGCCCACCATGCCTGCCTGTTTCTCTCTGTGGCTGCCTTGGCCCAGCCGCCCGCACCCACACCTCGTGCGACCGGCCACTCGGGTGTGAAATGCCCACCAGAGCTTGGGCTCCCCTTCTGAAAACGCTGGAAGTCAATCCAGACACCTCCAACGGTGCCCCCAGTCCCAGGGACAGCCCGAGCCCCTCCCACACCCGAGGTCCCAGCCCCAGGCCCTGTGAAGCTGTCCCTCTGTCACACTAACTCTGTGCCTTCATCCAGATGCCCCCTCTCGCCCTCAGAAGGGCCTTCCTGGTCTGGGCTGCAGCCCCGTCTGTGACTCTCCTGTTCGTGAGTCTCAGCTGTCTGATGTCCCCCCACATGGTTGTGAGCTCTGGACAGCAGGGCCGTGTCCTCACTGGGTCTTGGCACAGAGCCCCACTTGGGGCCTCGGAAAGTTCTGGCGAAGGACGTCAGGAAGAACGAGGGCAGGGCTGTTCACAGGTCTCAAGGCAACGAGGAAACGTGGCCAACAGAGGCCTGGGACTGCCGAACGGCCCACGCCCAAGCCCCTTCTGCAGCCCCCGGCCCACATGGGTGCCGGTCAGGCTGAGGAGGAAGACCACTCACTGCAGGTGGAGCAGCGGGCACCGAGGGTGAAGCAAAGAAGCGTACGCGGGCCACTCTGCGAGATGGCGGGTCACATCCTCCAGACGCGGGAGGCCGGCGGCCAATCTGGGCACAATCAAGCTGAGCCCCTGCCTGAAGGCCCTGGGCCCTCCCGCCAGCCATCACACGGGGTCCATGGGATAGGGCAGGCTGCCCGAGGTCTTTGCGCAAAGGGGGAAATGGAGTCAGACAACTGTTGTGGGAGACAGGGGTCAACGTTTTCAACAATGTGTCCTCCAGAAGGGAGGGCATTCATTTGGGAACAAAATACATCTCTTGAAGGAAACAGGAGGCAGGAATTTTGCAGATGCTGCACTGTATCCCAAGCTCAGAGAGGAAGTGCTTCGGGGGAGGGTGTCTGCGACAGCAAAGGAATTACAAACATAGTATGTATTCAAGCGGAACAAAAGCTCTTTGCTATCTCGACGTAAATCTGTTTTTACAAAAGTCAGGTCCCTCTATACATGCCTCATCCGTCTGCATCTGACACACCAGCCAAGCAAATGCCTTCACAAGCAAATCTTCTTTCAAAGGACACACTTCCTGGCTGGACAAAGTCTGGTGGGCACAGGATGGAATTCTCCTTCTGCCCATCAGTCCTCCCTGGCCGAACTTTCTTTGAGGCTGCGGAGTCACTCAGCCCTGACCAGGGTCCTCAAGACCCGAGGAATAAGGGAGAAGATAAAGTCCTGTGTGCAGGAAGATGCTGAAACCTGAAGTCCCAGGAAGGCTCTTGGAGCAGGTGGGAGCACCAGGAGCAGCAGAGGCAGGGATTAAAGGCAGCCCCTGGCCCATCCCAGCCCTGCCTGGTGGGCTCACCCACCAGTGGTGTTTCAAGGACCTCCAGGGTGATCTGACTCACTAAGGCTGACGATTACTGGCCAGACACATGCTCCCACGATGAAGCACAGTTCCCGCAGCAGTGACCTGGGCCACCTTCCGTAGAGAGTGATCTGGAAATCAGGTGGATTCTCCTCCAGCGATGATGACTGTAGCTAATAGATGCTAGGTTCCTTCTAGGGGCCAGCCGCCGTGCTAAAGGCTTCACACACATTAATGTATTTAATAAAGAGGGACTGCCCGAATTATCTGGCTTTTTGCTTCCACTTTACTAGGTCAGTGTAGATCAGCACTGTGGGCTTCTCTCTACCTGAGAGAGGGCTGGTGAGGGCCGGCACCATGGCAGCCACTGCAGCCCCACGTGCATCCAAGTCTCCTGAATTGTGAGTGCCTCCTGCACAGTCCCATGTCTGCAGATGCCGGATTCCTGTAGAGTGTGGTGGTGCCCTGTGTGGCCAGTGGGGGGGCAAGGGAGCAGGAGAGGCCAGAACTGCAAGGATGGGTTTCTGGGCATCGCAGGCAGAAGCCCCAAGGACATGCCAGGGTTGGGGCCATTAGGGGTTTTCCACCCGCTCAATTCACCCCTGGCCGGCCCCAAAGTATGTGAGGAGGCTGGGCTACGACAAGACGACAGCCACCCACCGCCCAGGGCTTCACACCGCATGCAAGCCCTGTGCCTCTCGGGACTTTGGATGTGGCAATGCAGACTCAGCCAAATCCTGCCTTTCTCCACGAAAGCTGCCTGCAGGACCAGCCGAATCAGCCAGCAATGCCCTGGCATGTGACGGGACACAGTTGCTGGCCTCCCACGCCACCAGCTCTCTAACAGCACTGAGACACGGAACAAGGCCCAGGGTCCCATCTGCCCCCATACACGGGGCTGTGGGGGCTTCCTGTGTGTCCTCATGGTGACCTTCTCTGCAGGGGTTCTCAGAACCTGCCTTGGACCAGCCACCGCAGGATCGCTGATCTGCAAAAGCCACGTAGATACCCACCTGGGCCTACCATCCACCCCGTCCTGGAGAAACCAGGACTTCCGTTTGCCGAGAGACGCCCAGGAGAACATTCCTGACAGCATCTTCCATAGTCGCCAGAAATGGGGGGACGACTCCATCTCTGCCCACATAATGATAAATCGTGGCACATCCCCGAGGAACATGGCCCCATGCTGAGAGGACGCACTGCCACCAAATGCCACGGCATGGGTGACCCATACGTGACAGGACACAGTGGCTGATTACAATGGGAGAGGTCAGCATGGCAGATGCTGGCGGGGTGGGGGCATCCATGGGCACGAGGGCCCCGCTGGGGGCAGGGGTGTTCTACGTCCTCCCCTGAGGGGCGGCTACAGTTCACCCATCGGCACTTACGATTTGTGTACGATCCCATGTGCAAGATCTACCTCAATAAACACAAAACTAGCCATAGCTCCTCTCCTCGCACCCACTATGTGCCAGGCACAGCGCTCAGCTCTCTCCACGAACCCCTGAGTCATCGTCCTCCCCCCAACCCCAACGTGTGGGTAGGAGGCAGGGTTTGGAGCAGACAGGGCAGATCCCTTCAATCAGCTGTGGGATGGCTGTTGTACGGTGATGTTCAGTCTAACTCAGTGTCGGCTTCTCCCGGGACGGTGTGACCCAGCCGATTCAAGTGAACGCCTTCATGCTAGTGTGGGGGATCTGTGGGCTAGGGGCATTCAGAGATGGGGACCCCCCTGTTTAGGGTGAGGGTACAAGTGGGTGACGTGTGACATGTCAGAGCACAGCGGATCTGCGGGCTGGGGATATTCAGAGATGAGGACCCCACGCCCCGGCACAGCAGGGCCTCACAGGACAGCTGTTGGGGGCCCCGAGGCCACACTCACCTTTCCCAATCTGGATGAAGCCAAGGAGAATGACGAGGGCCAGTGCCAGGAGCTTGGCGGCAGCGAAGGCGTCCTGCACCCGGGTGGCGGCCTTCACACTGTAGCAGTTCACGGCCGTGAGCAGCACTGCAGAGACAGGGCAGCGAGTGAGTCCTGGGACTTGTTTTGACATACTAGACAGTTCTCAGGCCTAAGGTCAAGGGTTGAGAACCACATGTTCCTGACCCTCACAAGAGCTACAACCCCAGGGGCCCCTGGGCTGTCATAAAGGACTTTTTTTAATGAATGGATTTCAACCTCCTGAGGGACTGACCATCAAAACAGCCACCTTTCCTCCTCTCCCTACCACTGCACACCTGACAGTCCCTCCTGAAAAGAGTAGGGGCCTTGAGCCAAGTGCTGTCTTCAGGGCCGAGATCGAGAAAGCAAATCTGCCATTTGCAGGATGACTGCGTTCACCCTCCTGCATCCACTCAACATCTTAGCAGAATTCGTTGCGTTCACGCACGGGGGCTACCAAACTTCTTGAAGGTGGGAAACCCTTTATTCAAAGAGAATCTTCTAGAATCCCACAGAGGAAACAGGAAGGTGAGGTATCCTGTTAGCACAAATCCATTTGACAAGCCAAGTGGTGGGACCATGGGGGCAATTTCGCTGCCTGAAATGGGGGCTAGAGGTGAGCGCCACGGCCGGGGTCCACAAGCAGGGATGCCCAGGTGGTCCCAACTGGTAAAGAAAACACACAAGCTCCCCCTCAACTGCAGCTTTTCCAGCACACACTGGAAACTGAACATCGCCCCAGTCACAGTGGGCTCCCTGGACGGGAGCAGAGACGGGGGCTCAGGTGGGCAGCTAAGCCAGGCCCCACAAACGTGCGCTGAGACCACAGCCCTGAGCCATGGGCAGTCTGTCAAGACATTCAGGTGTGCAGGAGCTGCCCACAAGTGTCCAGGGATCCAGTGAACTGGCTGTTAACACAGCCACTCTGCAAACAATGAGATAAAATTATATTGAAACAAAGGCAGCGACCACTCAACACTGACCCCTGCCCACGTCACTGCTTTTAACTCACGCACAGTCTCAGGTGGTCTGTGCTGTGGAATGGCTATGGTGGGAGCACCCAGGAGGGCGAGCTTGCACGCGCTTGTCCCAGCTCCCGCTCACTGCTCACGCTGGGGCCTGAAATCGGCTGCCCACGGCGGGTTCACACCAGGACATGAGCAAGGGCACGGGTGGGGCTTTTCTGGAGGGCTGGTGGTGAAACATTAACCAGCACACCTGCACCCATGTAGAGTGCCTCTGGCCACTGGGCCCCCTGCACACATCCACCGCTTCTCCAGAGGCCTGCATAAGGTAAGAAAGTCTGGAAAGGTCTGCTCATTGCTTCTCTTTTCCAGACAGAACTAACCCAGGGCTGGCAGACCCCAGGTGGCTTCTTTCCCCAGCTAAATTAATGACATGTAATTTTACAATTTGAGGAATGGGCCCCAAAGAAATAAATGCCAGCTGATTAACTTGATGAGATCTAGCAGATCAGGGAGAATAAAAGCCGGAACGCTCCCCTATGTGCTCTGGATAGGATTAAGGGCCTTGCTGTACCCTGCTGCCTGCTTATCTCTTTCAGAAATTAACTGACATCTTAATTGCTTCCTCCTCCCCCTCACGGTCTCTTTACTGCTGCGGCTGATGCAATGGCTGACCGATGCGGTGTGCCACGCACTAAGAAGGCTCAGGTTGAAAACAGCTGCTTTTGGCTGCTGTTCCTACACTGACATACTCAAAGTTCCCCTGCACCGAGTGTGACAGCAAAGAGCTGTGACACATGGACCGGCGTGGCCCTCACCCAGGGGCCCCTGGCCGAGCCCTCTAGGCTGTGGTTCCACACCTGTCAGAGACTGTACTAAAAGGAGCTGCCTCGGGGTGGATGGGGATTTAAATGAGCCTGTGGCAACATGGGGCCCACGAGAAAATGTCCTTGTCAAGGTACTAAAGCCACCGTGCACAGCAGGAGCTGAGTCTGGGCTGGGAAAGGCTCAGATGAGGGGGCCGATGTGTGCACGGGGCAAACAGCACCGCTGACCTTCACTGTGTGGCTCTGGGGTGAGCACACACTCAGTCCAGGCCCTCAGGCCCCATGGGGAGACAGCTGTCCGGTATTAAGCATGTCAGCACCACCATTCCGGGCACAGAAGAGGAAACAGAGAGGCCCCCCTCCCCAAGGTGAGACCCGGGTCTCTGGGGCCTCCACCATCCCCCACAGCACTGACACGAAGGGTGGAGAGAGGAGGATACACATGGAATTCCCTTTCACGGGCTTCAGGGAAGTCGACAATAGAGAAGCAAGCGCCTCTGGCCCCTCCTCCCCGAGGCACACGCCTACCCGGTAGTAGCCAGCCTCAGGCTGATGTAAAGTTGCATCATGCCTCCATTCATACCCCCAGGGAGGCGGGGGCGGGGAGGTGTGGAGGCACAGGGCAGCTTTTCTGGGCTGTGGCATCCGGCAGACAGGCTAGTCCCTCCTATCCTTGCAGTGGCCTGCTGCCATCAGGCTCCAGAAAACAGAGTGGTGCTGCCAACGCTGGGCAGAGCCAGCTCTGGCTGTCACCTCTGCTCGAATCACCCCATATCGGGTCTCCCCACCCCACAACGAGCAGGGGCACCTCTCCTCTCTCACGGATGAGGACTCTGAGGCTCCTCCAGCCCGTGGGCTGTCCTACTGTGGCGCTCACTCACACCGTGCTGGTCTCAGTTGTCACTGGGGTGGACAGAGGCCCAGGGTCCGTCCGTGCCACCCCAACACCCCTCCATCAGGAACAAAGGACCCACACCCTGCCCATGCCAAGATCCAACCCAGCTGTTCCCTGCCAAAAAGCCCTGAGCCCTGCCCAGCAGGTGTCAGAGCCACTCTGGACTGAGGCTCTTTTTACACTCATACAGCTTATCTCACGACAGTTAAAATAATCAGATAATGGACAGGTCAGGCAGGCTGGCAGTCCACAGTCTGGCGGGGACTGGACCGGATCACAGGACAAAGGTAACTTTATAATATTTATTTCTGTTTAAAAAGAAGAACTGAAACATATGGCGGAATTCTAATCTTCCTCAACTTTGGCTGATGAGTGAACTGTATTCTCCATAGTGTTCCTTTTTTTACAAATTTCAAAATGAAATGCAATCTTAAGTAAATAAACTAATTCATTTGGACCCAACGTCTTTCACCTTCAACAAAGCAGTCCTGGGAGGAGAGCCCGTGGCTGGGGCTGCATCTCAGCCACCCCCAACCGTGACAAGGTGTCCTGCTCGTCTGAGCGGCGGGCTCCACACCTGCAAGACGGGGCGACGCTGCATTTCTGACGGGGCCGTCAGGAGGTGCTGGGTGCCCCAAGATGTAACGTGAGGGTTTGCTGCTGCCACACCATCACGTCACCTCGCAGCCCCTCCACGGAAGGGAGCTGAGGACAAACCACCTGTGTTGCAGGAGCAGGGAGAGGATGGGGACACGGCAGGGCGCTGGCCTGGCAGGCTGGCTGATAAAGGCTGTGTGCTGTCAGGGGGGTACCCCAGCTGGAAGCCAGCCCTCTCCAGGGTTCTGTGTGTCAGCAGCCCCAAATAAGCATGGTCGTGCTCCCGATCCGCGACAGCTGGGGTGAGGAGATAAGCCCAGCGCCCCTGGGAAAGGAGCCGGCTCTGGGCTGCATGCAGATGGTCATGAGCAGGCTGGGCCTCGTGGCTCATCCCACAGGCTAAGCTAGGAGCCTGTCCTGCTTCAGGTTTGTGTCTGTCCCCACCCTCATCCTTCCGTATCATGGCCCGCCTAGCTAGGTGATGCCCAGGGGTGGGCCAGCTCAACCTCAGCAAATGAGCTTAGGTCCTGGAGTGCGCTGGGGGATCCACCTGGCTCCTGCAAAGTCACTGTCCCTCTGCCAAGGGGCTCACGCCCTCCACCTCCCAGGGGGGCTCCACCTGCACCCCCATCCTCATGTCTAGGTGTGCCTCAATGGTGGGAAGTGCTGCTCAGTGAAGGAAGACCCCTCAACTGGGCCACCTGGGCTGCTCTCGCCCTGTGGCCTCGGGGGACACCCGGTCACCCTGGCCGTGAGCTCAACTCCAGCTCTCGGCCTTGGGTTCAGAGTCCTGCCTGCAGACGCTAGGGCAGCAGATCCCCAGAGGGCCACATGGGCCAAGGAAAAGGGCTGGGCACAAGTTCCACGACGCATAGCTGCTCCCCACCTCCATCTGCTACTTCTCAGGACCCCCTCGGGCAGCGCAGGGTGTCCTGGGGGGACTGCCACTGCTGGTGCTTGATGTTGGGGGCTCCGCCCACCAGCATGACTCAGGACACCCCTCGCTGTCTCTGCTTCCCCATCTCAGCCTGGCCACGCATAACGCCAACTTCACCGTGGCACAGGGGGTACCTGACGAGGTGCTCTGAGTGGGAAGCCATGTTCACCACTGACACACACGAGTCCCCAGCCTCCTCCTGGCCTTGGCCTCTGCCTCGGGGAGGGTGGTTATCTGGCAGCACCCAAAGGCTCCTTCCCCAGCCTGACCTGACCTGACAGCTCCTCCCCAGCTTGACACCAGCTATCTCTGTCTCCAGGCCCCCAGCCGCGCACTCCCTGATAATTCCACACAGGCCCAGGGCTGTCCGCTGTCGGGGATCTGCCCCTAGACCTGACTTCTCAAGACAGTGACTTCATTCTATTTTCTGCTAGTTTTACAGCCTCGTGTTAAATGCAGTGCTGGCTCACTTGGCTGTCTCCCTCACAAGGGAGGGCTTGAAATGCAAGCGGAGCCTGTTTTCATTTAAAAACACAGAAAAAAAAAACCCACAAAAAAAAATAACACACCCAAATCCATTTCCCTCCCCTACTCAGGGTAAAACCCTAATGAGATTTATCAGCCTGGTGACCAGGGCTCTGCTCCCTTGGGATTTTGTGGATGCTGATAAAATCAGCACCGATCCTGGCAACAAGAGCAATATATGAGCACCTGCTGTATACTCAGACTCATTCTATTGTTCAGTGCTCTCGGTGCACCTGGGAGCGGCAGGCCGCCTCTAAGCTCCCCACTCCCACTCCCTGACTCAGGGTCAAACACGTCAGAGGAAGGTCGTGAGTAAGCCC